CTCTTGTCTGGATTATTTCAGTAGTACATTCAGGGGTTTTAAATTTGGATTCCATGAATAGGCCTCAGAGGATCTAAGAATACCATCAAAACTGCATGCAATTTTTTTGTACATGGGCATTTTTCAGGACAGGTCCATTGGACGATTCCATGGGAAAGAATGTAAGAGATAGAATGAGAGAATATGACAATTTAAATGAGTCAGTTCCACTGATTTCTCTTCTTTCCATGCCTGCTCTAAGTTCTGAGTAGTGAGGCACGTAAGACATCAAGAAAGAACAAGTGACAGCAGTCAGTTCAGCTTGGCAGTCAGGACAGGTCAGAGGCTTTCCAGCATCAGAGCCATGTCTTAATGTCCCGCAGAAGCTCAGGAGAAAGCTGGGGCATCTGTAAGGAAGTGTCCTCCTAAGGCCTCTGGACCCATTTGTTCATATGCTTCCAGAGGACTTGGAGGGAAATGAAAGTTTAATTGGCAAAAGTCCCGAGCCAGCCAGTGAGGCAGTGTCCCCAGAAAAAGGTTAAAAATATTCCTCCAGCTACACTTTTACCCTCTCATCTTTGTTCTCTAGTCCTTCCTCCACTCTACCACCAGAGTTAGTTTTTAAACGTATATCTCATTGTGCACTCTCCCTGAATAAAAACCTCAGGGTTTTTATAAAACAAATTAAAAACTCCTGGGCATGGTGTCAAGGCCTTCCATAGTTGTCAAGGGAGTCTCCAGGCGCTCCTCTCCTCTCCCCTCCCCTCCAAGACTGTAGCCACAACAGGTTACTACTGGCTGTTTTGAAAGGACAGCTTCTATGTCCATGCCTCTGTGCCTTTGATCATGCTAGTTTCCCTCGTTAGGTGCCGTTTCCTCTCCTGTGCCCAATCATGAACCTCCTGCTATCTGTCCTTCAAGGCCTACACTAAATAGTATTTCTTTCTGTGTCCATCCCTCATTTTCTGCCATCACCCTAGGAGAAGTCAGTCTCTCATGGCCAGGTTCCAAAAACATTTCATACATATCTCTGATAATGTCATATTATATTGTAGATAACCTATTTTTATTTCTGTCTTTCCTACTAAACCAGAAATGCCCTGCAGGTAGGGACTGCCTTTTTCATGTTTGTATCCCTAACACCTAGTTTCATGCCTAGTCCAAACAGGAGCTTAATACACTTTTGTTGAATGGAATTACTTACGAAGAGTTTTTATGACTCATTTAAAATTAGAGACCAATGCTTATTTAATAAGTCAGAATAGGCTATAATAATAGTAGTAATAACAAAGTCCCATTTCCACTGCTTATTCAAGTAACTGCTTCCTTTTTGGAAGTGGATTTTGAAAATCTTCACATGTCAATGTATATTTTTGATGTGCTTTCTTGAGATCCTGAAAGAATTATAGTTCTAATGCAGAACTAGAGCTTCTATGAAATTCGTGTTGGTGTCATATTGAGTAGATTCTGTCATTTCAGAGATCTGTATGAAATACAGTAAGTTCCATGGATATGCATTTTATCTCTTTCAGACTTCATGGTAATATTCGGTGAATTGTTTATAAAGTCTGAGTTCATTTAATTCAAACCACATTAAACTGAGCATTTTCCACAGACGAAAACAGAATTACTGAGTTAAGACTCTAGTACAGACAGTCTCCAACTTACGATGGTTTGACTTAATGATTTTTTGAGTTTATGATGGTGTGAAAGCGATATGCATTCAGTAGAAGCCATATTTCAAATTTTGAATTTTGGTCTTCTTGGGCTAGAGAGCACAGTATTCTCTCATGATTCTGGGCAGCGGCACCCACCGCTGCCAGTTGGCCATGCCATCACAAGGGTTGTCTTTAAATTACAATGGGTTTATCAGGAAGTAACCTCATCATAAGTTGAGGAGGGTCTATGTTATATATTATGTAGTTTGTTCTGCTAAATTTGCAAAGTCCCAGTCACTGTAAATATGTTTTTTGTATTTAAATAAGTTCAGTTATGAAAATAAACACTTCCATAAATGAAGAGCTTCAAATAATTTTTTTAAATCTTATTTTTTTAAAAGATTTTATTTATTTGTCAGAGAGAGAGTAAGAGGGAGCACAAACAGGGGGAGCGGTAGGCACCCCACTGAGCAAGCAGCCTGATACGGGACTTGATCCCAGGACGCTGGGATCATGACCAGAGCCAAAGGCAGACACTTAACCAACTAAGCCACCCAGTCGTCCCTCAAATAATTTTTTTAAATGGCCTTCTCTCCCTCATTTTCTTTTGAGTTTTGTAGGAAAGGAATCAACAACAATTTACTTATTTAGCCATTTACTGAGTACATATTATATGCTAGACATTATGGTGGATGTTTGCAATTCCAGCTTGTTGAGATAGCACCTGCCCTTGAATAGTTCATGGTCTAATGGAGAAGGTATATAAACAACTAATTGCAACTTAAACCTTGGGGAAAAGGAAAGAAACTCCTTTGAGAAGCCATGGTGAGGTTGAGAATGGATGTGTCTGCAGATGAATTTGTGGTTAGAGAAGCAATGAGCTAAAGGGATTTCATACTTGATAGTCTTTTTTTTTTTTTTAATATGTGAAGTAGGAATCTAGATCTTTTCTGTGAATTAAACGGATGGGGTAGGGGCGCCTGGGTGGCTCAGTTGGTTAAGTGCTGCCTTCGGCTCAGGTCATGATCTTAGAGTCCTGGGATCGAGCCCCGCATCGGGCTCCTTGATCAGTGGGGAATCCACTTCTTCCTCTCCCTCTGCTGTCTCCCTCACCTGTCTCTCTGGCTCTCTCTCTCTGTCAAATAAATAAATAAAATCTAAAAAAAATAAATAAACGCATGGGGCAGCACTTGAGAAGAGAAGAACAGTGAAGATCTGGATAATTAATGCAGAGAACAGGAGGTGGACTGACAGAAACCAGTAAAGGGTGGCATGCAGTATCGAGAAGCAGTGAGCGTGGAACTGAAATTGGCTAATAGGAAATTGTGAGAGTATCAGTCAGGACAGTGGTGTAATTTTCTCTGGTTATGCTCTGTGGCCAACGTGTAGGTGCAGTAAAGCCATTCTGTGGCCAGGCCTGTAGGTGCAGTAAAGCCATTCTGTGGCCAGGCCTGATGGGTAGAACGGAAGTGTAAGAATGCTAGGGAATTGAAAGACAGTATAGCTTAATGTAGAAGGAAGTACCATTAGGAGGAAGTTGATAAACTTGGATAAAGTTAAGAAATTAGAGGATGAGGATAAGGCCTAGTACTTTGTAGGTCCTCAGCAAGTCTTCATTTTCTCCTTTTTGGCTCCTCTTTCCTGTGCCTTGTTTTACCACCACCATGACCACCTGCCTCTGCTGTGGTTTATATGAATAGTTTCAAGTCATGGTGGTAGCAGTTGGCTCAGAGGATAAGATTAGCAGCCAGGTTCCAAAGTCTTCATCAAAAGTGCCCCAGTGGTTTGGATGCTGGCAGTGCCTCATGGTGTTGGCCTCTAGGAGAAGTTCAGGGCTTACCCCCTTATCTCACTACTCCTTGTGCTCCAAGAGTGGATCAAGGGCAAAGACACTTTATTGGCCATGGTTCTCAGGACAGGAATTTACTCTGTGATGAGAAGGGTTAAGACTCTAAGCCTTCAGGGGTTTCCACTAAGTTCCCCTTGTCTCTACAAATCTAACCATAAGCACATATCTCATTACTTTCAAGGATTTAAAAGGGAGTCTTTTTTTGACATACAGAAGCAGTGACCATACTGGCAACCCAAAGGGTCTTCCTACTCAGAATCTAAAATATCTAGTAGAGTTGGTTGTACCTTGTGATTTCTTTTATGTGAGTTATTAAATGTATTGTCATAATTTTTTTTGAAGAAAGTTTTTAAGGCTTTCATTCCAAATGAGGACAAACTATTATACATGGAAACACTATATTTCATTTCCAGAAATTTTCTTTTTCACCTGTACTTTTGAGTGTAACACCTAAATCTAATAAATCATTATTTCACAGAATGCTTTTTTTTGTGTAGTATAAGGAAAAAACTCATAAGAAAAGAGTCATGCATCCTAAGTGTGAAACTGCAAGAAAAGTGAGAATTCCTAGAGTTAGTAAACTGAAACCACAGGTCATCGGAATCTTAGAAATGAAGTAAATGCTCATGAAGAGTTGGCTAAAGAAATCCTGGGGAGTCTAAATCACCAGTCTTGCTTTTTCCCTGTTGTTACTGATACCTTTTAAGGCATTTAGCAATGCTTGCCTGGAAAGGAATTGAATACTGTTTTTCTGAAACTTCATCTTCATCTGGGTGGTGCTGAGACAAGCGTGTGCCTCCCTTGGCATTAGTCACATGAAGTAGGACATTCAACTTTATCCACTAAGTTGTAACATCCATCTGGATCCTTCTGGATTGCTCTATACCAGCCAACTCAAAACATGTTTGCCCATTCTTCAAGGGCTTGTGTTGACAGGTAGACCTGTAATTTCTATGACTAAGATATGGTTTCCATAGCCTACCATATCATAATAGATTTGTGTTGAGTTAAATTTGCCTAAAAGCAGATCTCTTTTATTCTTTGACTGTAAAGTAAAAACTAATGGAAAATAAGTAATACTTCCTAATTAGGTATTTAGGTCAGAGAGACATCTTCAGAGTTAAAAGTATTCTAAATGATAGTTCGAATATACTTTTCCAAAGACCTTTAATTGGCAGCTTTCACACTCAAATATTGGTACTTGTGTAGGAATTTTTTCTGGATTTTCTCTTTAAAAAAAGGTTTTAGGGGCACCTGGCTGGCTCAGTCAGTAGAGCATGTGACTCTTGGTCTCCAGGTCATGAGTTCAAACCCCATGTTGGGTGTGGAGCCTACTTTAAAAAAAAAGAGCTTTAGTTCATTCTTGTTCTGCTCATGGCACTTGGATATTATATGTTAATGACATGACTATAGTTTTCCTAACATGCATATAAAGAAGAAAGAAAATTTTCCTTTAGATGGAAATTTTCCTTTGGATTTTAGTTGTTATAAGACTGTTCTCTTTTCCTTTTTAGGTTGCAAACATGTTAAAGGCATCCTGTTATATGGGCCCCCAGGTTGTGGTAAGACTCTCTTGGCTCGACAGATTGGCAAGATGTTGAATGCAAGGGAGCCCAAAGTGGTCAATGGGCCAGAAATCCTTAACAAATATGTGGGAGAATCAGAGGCTAACATTCGTAAACTCTTTGCTGATGCTGAAGAGGAGCAAAGGAGGGTAATGTTAATATAAGTATAATTCAGTAAAAGTTTGTTTTCATTTATACAATGAATGAAACCCAAAGCTATGGTGGAAAACTTTGTTACTGTGATCCATGTTTTGAAAAACATGCAGGTAAAATTTATTTAGTACTGAATTATATCACTGAACCAGGGATTATGGGGAATTTACATGATGTGAACAGATGTCATTACCCACACGTCCATAATACAAAGATAGATGATTGTATAAGCCCAAGTTTTGCAAAAACAGATCATGAATTTATTTCCGGGCGTCACTTTTATTCCACATGACTTTCAGAGACTTGAACTCATTTATCCTTTGGAAAAGGGGGAAATTAAATTTGTAAAATAACTTGTAGAATTACCTATATGTAAGTTTCATGAGCAGAAAGCTAGCTTACTTACCACTGAGTCTCCTCAGTTGTAGAGTGACAGGTATGAGTTGTTAGGTCTCAAAGGAAAGTTTGATGTGGGTCTGAGAAAAAAATTAATTAAAAGTCAAACCAGAGTTTACTAATTGTTATGGTTAATTTTATGTGTCAGTTTGGGCCTCAGGGTGCCCACACATTTGGTTAAACATTATTCTGGGTGTGTTTGTGAGGATATTTCTGGACGAGATTACTATTTGCATTGGTAGACTGAGTAAAGCAATTGCCCTCCCTAATATGGGTGGGCCCCATTCAATCAGTTGAAAGTCTGACTAGAACAAAAGGGCTACTCCTCCCCTGACTAAGGGAATTTCCTACTGCCTTACTGCTTTTATCTGGGCCATCAGTTCTTCCCTGCCTTTATACTCAGACTGAAACTGCAGCCCATCTTGTGTCTCCAGCTTGCCAACTGCAGATATGGGGACTTGTCAAGCCCCATAATTGGGTTACCCAATTCCTTGTAATTAATCTTTCTGTAGATAGATATAGATTTAGATCTATAAGGTGTGTGTGGTGTGTGTGTGTGTGTTGTGTGTGTGTGTATTTTCAGGTATCCAATAGGATGGATCTATAGATCCATCTTATTATATTTCTTTGGAAAACCCTCATACTAACCCTCATACATACTAACTAACTAATACTAACATATTTATTTCATTGACAAAAGTTTAAAAACAATGGCATAGGATTTCTGCTTCTAGTAATACAGTAGACTAGGTAACCTGAAAACCTGTCTTCCATAAACACCTTCAAATGCTGGGTAAACTATAACTAAAATCATTTTAAATGCATAATTTAGTTCTCAAGAAAGAAAAGGAGAGCTCCAGAAATGAAAAGAAAACTCTGAAAATTAGACTGGTAAAGATCAGAGCTGCGGCTTTTGGTTTTGGTAATGTATGAGTTTGGGTTTTAGTACCCACTAGCAGGCACTTGAACCCACTTAAGATGTGGACTAGGAACTGGAACCTTCAAAGGGGTTGTGTCCTCACTGAAAAGAATGGTCTAGAAATTGTCTGATCACCAGCACAAAGAAATAAAAACATTTAACCATCTGTCTGAGTTCTGCAGTGGGAGCTATAGAATCTCTCATGGGAATTCTGAACTATGGATTCTTAACTCATGCTTAGGATTTGAAAATACACACACACACACACACCACCACCACCACCACTACCACCACTCCTGACCTTTGTGGTCAGGGGCCCCCATGCTGAGAAATTGATTTAAAAATGAATCCTGGACTAATGATAGCATGGGGTTGATAGTTATTAGCAAACCCCTGGGGAGGAGGAGAATGGAGGCCCAGAAACAAAGGTCCTGGTGTGTAGGGTCACCATTCCTTTGGAGATATTAGCCATTTCTGGAGGGAACTGCTAAACAGCTGTGCAGCCCTTTTGACAGGCCAGCGGGAGTAAGGGGCCAGAGGTTAAAATGCATGGCTCATGAAGAGAGGACACCTGATGAACATGCCGCAGTTTGAGTTGGGACTCTGGAAGGCTGCACAATAGAAGCAGGGGTTAATCAGAAGTAGACATGCTCTCACAGAGGCCAGCTTTGAATCACATCTAATTTCTCTAAAATTAAATTGAAGGTTCCTAAATGACTAGTGCCCCTCAGCATCCAGCAGAATTATAGATCCTTCCTGGAGGAAAGTAGTATCATGCAAGGCCACAAATTATTTCTATAGTTTGCAAATGAGATGCCTGGTTATAGTCAAAAGCAGTCAGGTATACAAAGACATAGGCAACTTGAAGAAAGAGAAACAAAAGTGATAGAAATTGGGCCTCCAGATATTGGAATTCTCAGATAAAGACTTAAAATAACTACACTTACCACATTCAAAGGGAAATAAGATTGAGAATTTTGGCCGAGCAGTGAAAAATGAAAAACAAAATCAAATGGAAATTCTGGGAATAAGAAATTCAGCAACTGAAATTAACTCAGGTAGATGGGTTTAAACAGCAGATTAGACACATCTGAAGAGAGAATTAGTGCACTGAAAGATGTTAGACAAAAATAACCAGAGACAAAGGATGAAAGCAATGAAAAGTGATAGGAAATACCAACACAAATGATGATGGAAACCAGAAATCCGTTGAATGCTATTTCTAAGAAGCTGAAAGAGAAGAACTGTTAAGTTAGAACTTTGTATCCGGTAAATGGATAAATTGTCATGTAAATATACAGTGAAGTATTACACAGTAATAAGAAATAAACGGACTATGGTTATATATAGCTGTGAATCTTACAAATAAATGTTGAGCAAAAGAAACCAGACAAGAAAGAATACGTACTGTATGATTCCATTTATATAAGGTTCAGCTAAAATATAATGTTCAATGATACATGCTTAGGTGGTAAACCATAAAGAAGAGTGAGAAGTAGTTTCCATAAAAAATCAGATTGGGGTTGCCTGTGGGGAATAATGGGGAGGGACATTGGGGAGGAGTTGTGAGGACATGCGCCCACGATGCTGGCACTGTTCTATTTCTTGTTACATTATATGGATGTTCATTTTATGACAGTTCCTTGAAACATGCATTCATATTTTGTGAACTTCCCCTCTCTGTATGCTGTAGTTCACCATAAAAAAGGTTTAAAAGAAATAAACTTAATAATCACTGCATGGGACAACAATAATAGTCATCAATATGGGTTTTTGGTTTTTTTTTTAAGGATAGAACTAAAATATGGAACAAAACATAGGGGAAGTGGATTAAGTCTATGTAAGATCTTTGTATTATTTGGGAAGAAGATAATACTGTTAATAAGTTAGGTCTGTATGTGAAAATTGTGTATAACTTTCATGCTTTTCCAAAGCATGAGGAGGAGCTGGGAAAGGAATAAAACTCAAATTCTTTAGAAGGCAAGATTCAAAGAAAATGTGAAGATATTGAAAATGTAACTTTAAAAAAATATTTCACTTATATCAACAGTCAAAATGATAAGGTACGTAGAATTAAATCTTAACAGGAAAATTAAGGGAGAAAATTATAAACATTTTTGAGAATCTTTTTCAAGAGCTAATAAATGATAAACCATGTTTATGTGTAGGAATACTGACAATATCATAAAATGACAGTTCTGCCCATATTAATTTATAAATTTATGCTTTTCCAATCAAGTCTAATGGGACTTTTTTGGAATTTGACAACTTGATTTTTTTTTTTTTTTGGATACTTGAAGAGCCATGAAAATTTTGGAAAATTAGGAAGACTTATTTCATATCATGATTTACTGGAAAGCTGTAGTAATTGAGACCGTTATATATTCTTGCATAAACAGACCAAGGAAACAGAACAGAACACAGGAGGAACTTGCTATGTGAAGAGTGACAGTGCAAATCAAAGGAGAAAGAATATTCCATGAATCAGGATGAATGAGATCATCAGCTTTCTGTTTCATAAAAATAAAATATAGTCATTATCATATCATACAGAATTACAAAATGGATTTACAAAAAACTAAAACTAAAATTTACCAGAGAAAACATTTTTAGAAGAAATGTAGGCAAAAAGCCTTAAGAATTGAGGCTAGAGAAGAATTTCTTTTAAGGGGGGGGTTATTTATTTATTTATTTATTTATTTATTTTTAAAAGATTTTATTTATTCATTTGACACAGAGAGAGAGAGAGCACAAGCAGGGGAACTGCAGGCAGAGGGAGAAGCAGGCTCCCTGCAGAGCAGGGAGCCCGATGTGGAGCTTGATCCCAGGACCCTGGGATCATGACCTGAGCCGAAGGCAGATGCTTAACCCACTGAACCACCCAGGTGCCCTATTTGTTTATTTATTTATTTATTTACTTAACTCACTCACTGTCACCCAGGCACCCCAAGAAGAATTTCTTTATTAAGATAAAGTAATTAAATCCATAAAAGAAAAAAAATGTTAATTTGCTTACATTAATATAATATGAAGAAAATTCTCTCTGTCAGATTATACACAATACAGATGTCTCAAACTGGAGAGGATATTTGCACTGCATATAATCCACAAAGAATTGATCATGGTCTCAGGTCTCTGTCCTCAGCCACATTGGTTCTAAAAGGCATGGGTCCTGGTGGATTGGTACAGGTCCGGTAATCACAAGTCCAGTAACTCTTCAGACAGTCCCAGAACCAATTCAGTTTTACTGTTCATCCCTATTACTACAATATTTTCTCCTTCAAAAATCTTTTTTTAAATTTTTTTTTTAAGATTTTATTTATTTATTCGACAGATAGAGAGACAGCACAAGCAGGCAGAGTGGCAGGCAGAGGGAGAGGGAGAAGCGGGCTCTGCCGAGCAGGGAGCTGGACGTGGGGCTCGACCCCAGGACCCTGGGACCATGAGCTGAGCCAAAGGCAGACGCTTAACGACTGAGCCACCCAGGCGCCCTCTCCTTCAAAAATCTTAACACTCAGTGCACCAAGAAAAATTGTCACCACCATTTACTATCTGGGTTGAAAGAATTCCTTTTTAAAAATTATTTTTAAGTTATTTTACAAATAATTTACAAATGTAAGAATAAAAGAGAGTGAAAGACTATTATGTATTTAATAAGAACTTAAATAATGCAGATATCTA